CCCCCCCCCCTCCCCCCCCGGCAATGAGATTAGGTCTGCCCAGTACGACCTTCCATACAAGGAAAATCAATTATTTGTGTAAGCATGTACAATCACACACTGCTTTAATGAGAAGGATACGTTCTAAAAAATGAGTCATTAGATGATTTTGTTGTTTTGTGAACATCACAGAGAACACGTACACAAACCTAGATGGTATAGCTTACTACACAACTCAGCTGTATGATATTGCAGCCTATTGCTCCCTGGCTACCAGCCTATACAGCATGTTACTGTAGCGCAAGAGAAAATGATGCCATCAAGAGATGCTGTTAACATGAAGTGCATGAGGCTGCTGCTGGTGCAATGCACATACAGTTTTACAGCAAACTTTTTTTTCTCTTTCCTGTAGTTTTAGAAAGAGTATACTCTAAAACAGGGGTGGGGAAGTTTTTTTTTTTGCCAAGGACCCTTTGGATATTTATAACATCATTTGCAGGCCATACAAAATTATCAACTTAAAAAATTAGCTATGAAAAAAGCTCCTAGATTATTGAATTTTGAGTCCTGTCTGTGGTTGCCTTGGCAGGGCCAGAAGAAATGATTTTGTAGGCCAGACGTTCCCCACCCCTGCTCTAAAACAATGATAAGAGGTATAGTATAGTAAATACATAAATCAGCAACATAGTTGTTTATTATCATTATCAAGTATTTTGTACTGTACATAATTATATGTGCTATACTGTTATATAATTGGCAGCACAGTAGGTTTGTTCACACCAGCATCATCACAGACACGTAATGGATTGCTTTATGACCTTATGATGGCTATGACATCACTAGGTGGTAGGAATTTTTCAAGTCCATTATAATTTTATGGGACTACCATTGTGTATGTGGTCTGTCCTTGAACTAAATGATATTATGTGGCACATGACTGTATTTAATATATATCTCCCCACTAGACTGAGCTCCATGGGAGTAAGAATAGTATCTTATGATAATCAAACATAAAAACAACTAATTTTAAATGTTTTACTAGAGAACTGCACTCAGGTTTCTTTGTTAATTTTTAGACTATCTTTTGAATCTATGCTTAAATTACCCTTTTTATTAACATTTAATTTTTTTTCATTTTTCCTTAATCAGGCTTCTGAAGAGTTTACATATTTTATTACTTTTTTCAAAGAACCAGGTTTTGATTTTATTCTTTTTACTATTTCTAGCTATCTTACCACATTCTTATTAATTTTAGTAGTTTTTTAAATGGAAAAAAAACTAGAGTCCTAACATTTTCAGTTGTATAATTATAGCATCTATAAAGACATTTTTTGTATCTCCCTTTTGAATATTTGTATCTCCTATTTCATTTTCATGTCTTATTGCTTTATTTTAGCCTCTAAAAGAATGTTAATAATAGTGATGATAGCAAGCATCTCTGTCTTCCTTCAGAAATTGGTGGAAAATGGCTTTAGTACGTTTCCATTTTGTATGCTGTTTGCCATGCTATTTTGAGTAGCTAGTATTTATTGTTCCCCAAGGAACCAGTAAGGTTGAATAAAAACCAGAAATGTTGCCTGGCTGGGCATGGGTCTGTGGTTGAGCGTCAACCTAGGATCCAGGCGACCGGGGTTCGATTCCCGGTCAGGGCACATGCCTGGGTTGTGGGCTTGATCAATGACTCTCATCATTGATGTTTCTATCTCTCCCTCTCCTTTCCTCTCTGTGAAGTCAATAAAAATATATTTTTAAAAAATAAAAATAAAATAAAAACCAGAAGTGTCCTGGAAGCCAAATGAAAAATGCTGGGTAGATTAAGTTAAATAAAGCCTGAGAACTGATCATTAGATTTAATAACATAGAGGTCCCTGATGAGCTTATCAAGAGCAGTTTCCATGGAGAGATGACTAAAATGGGTTAAAGAGAGAATAGAGGAGAGGAATTGGAGACAGTGAAAAGAGGCAAGTTTTGTTTTGCAGGTTTGTAGTAAAGAGAAGAGAGTTGGAAGAGAAGCTGGAGAGGAATGGAGTCAAAATAGTTTCTGTTTTTGTTGTTTTTTAAAGATGAGAGACATTAAACCATATTTGAAAGTTTCTGCTTATGACCCAGTAATGAGGAAAAACTGATGAGCAAAGAGAAAGGAGAGCATTTATAAAGTGATGTTCTTGAATAAATGAGAGGGGATACAACCTTGCACACAAGTGGAGGGTGACTTCCAATAGAGCAGGGACAGTTTACCTACATAAGAGGAGCAAAGGCAGAATATGATAAATGGGGACAGACGTTGGTAAGCAGGTCACTGCATCAACTGTTGCTTCTTTTTCTCAGTGCACTTAAAGATTTCCTAGGTGATTCTAGTGAATGTGTAGGTTTGGAGAGATTAGCTCATAGTTAAAACCAAGAAACCCAGAGAGCCTGTTGCTTTCTTCCCCCACGTCTGTGCTTGTGTCTTAGATCTCATCTCCCTGCTGGTGAGAAAAGGCATTCCCAGAACCATCTGGGGTGAAAGTGAAGAGGGAGTTACCTCAGATTTCTAGACCTTAGGTCCCAGGCTATGAGAATAGCCCCATGCCCGTCTTACCTTCCTAGACAGACAGGCTGCACATATGAAAAAAGAGAGAAGAGAAAGAAAAGGGTGGGGTGCTGAGACAATTAGATAGACAATAAGGGGTGGGAGGTGAAGACAGAGGGAGAGAGAAAAAGAGAGAGAGAGAGAAAGAGAGAGAGAGATCAGAGCTCTCCACAAACACAACCACCCAAGAAAGGGGGGAGGACACCTGGCCCAGCACAGGCTTATTTATATGCCCGTGCTGTGGTGACTCCATCTTCTAGAAGTCATGGTTCAGTTGGTTCCTTAAATATGACCAGTCCTTACCACTGAGAGAGGCCACATGTAAAGTCATTGGCACTGATGCCTAGTCCTCCTTGGAGTAGAAGAGGTGGGGTGGGGGAAAACTATGTTTAATAAATCTAAGTTGCCTTCACTCTTCTACCTAGGCCCAAGTCAAAAATGAGTGTCATGAAAGATTAATTTGGCCAGCACGATTGTCTTGATCTGTTTGGGTTGTTACTGTAGAATGAGTGGCTTAAACAAATACTTATTTTTCATGGTTCTGGAGGCTGGGAAATCCAAGATCAAGGTGCTGGCAGATTTGATGTTTGGTGAAAGCTGGCTTCCTGGTTCTTAGACCACTGTCTTCAACTGTGGCCTGTTATATGGCACGGTTCCCTTCCTGAGGGTGCCACCTAATGATCTAATCACCTCCCAAAGGCACAACCTCCAAATACCATCGCATTGGAGATTATTAGGTTTCAACATATGAATTTTGGGGAGGCACAACTATTTCAACAATATTTTAAAAAATTGTATCTAAATACCCTAAGCAAGGCAGGCATGGCACTTGCCTGCTCAATACAGCAACTCCCTGCCCTTGTGTCTTCCAGGACCACCACAGATGTTGGCATCCTTAGCCTGGCTTGTGG